GGGTCAGCGTTAGTACTAACAGACATGACAGTTTTTCTTCTTCTTCTTCACAGTTAGTTAGCAGAACATCTTTGCGAATGGTTGAGTTTGGGGATCGGAGGATTCCCTCTCCTCTCATTTGGTGTAACAGCGCACAGTAGATGGGAGGACGTCATTCGTTACAAGGGGACGTGGCTGAAGAGGTACGACACAGACTCGCCGTTGTGAGTTCTACGGATGGCCTCTGCAAGGATCATGGAGATGTCAATAACCTGGAGGGAGAGAGCGGATGGCTTGTTGTGAACATAAGACAATGAATGACTTAAGTAACTTATCAAATAGAAACACCAACATACAACAATTCTAGCTTCTCAAATTGAGGACTTGTGTTTTATAAAACTTTAAATAGAGCTACTTGTTAAGTCATTTATCATTTAAAATGATAAATGCTATAACCCGACCTGTATTTTGGGACAATGCTTCATCTTCTCCTCCTGAGGGATCGTATTGGTGACCACCACAGCTTCAAAGCAGGCATTGTTGATGCGTGAGATAGCCGGGCCAGAGAAGATGCCATGGGTCAGGATGGCATACACCTTGGTGGCACCAGCAGAAATGAGTCTATAGAGAGAAACAGTACAACGCTCCACATTATGTCCTGAACAGAGGTCTCTTAATTGAATTCAGTAATGTTTGCTTGACATCAGGACCATAGAAGCCAGAGTAGCCCTCTTGTCCGGGGCTTGTTAATGCTGTAAAGTTCTAAATGCATTTACCACAGGAGGTAAATAAAAGGGCTTACTTGTCAGCAGCATGACAGACTGTGCCACACGTGTCAGCCATGTCATCCACTAGAATAGCGACCCGATCGGTCACGTCGCCAACGAGAACCATGCGGTCCACCTCGTTGGCCTTTTTCCTCTCCTTGTGAATGAGGGCAAAGTCCACATTCAACCTGTCTGCTATGGAGGTGACCCTGCAGAAGCAGAGAATAACATCCACGAGTTAGAGCTAGTGTGCACGCCAAAGTGTATGTAAACACACACGCGTCAAATTAGAACCATGTCAGAGATAAGTAGAGCCAACAAAAGTTTAATCTAACGTAAACTCCAGAGGAGATGCTCAAGGGTAGAACACCTACAGTGTGGCAAGTGTTACTGGCATACCTCTTGGCTCCTCCTGCATCTGGCGAAACAATGGTACAGTTTTTCCATTCAGGGATGTTCTCTTTGATCCATTTCAGCACAGCTGGCTCTGCATACAAGTTATCCACCGGGATATCAAAGAACCCCTGGAAAGAGATATATGGACCGATGTTACAGGAGCTGAACATGTACAACCTGCTGGAAGGACCAACACAAGGCTCATCTCTCCCATTATCCTCTGGTGACATCAATATAAACCAGGCTACTGAAGTCAAGTTTCTAACGTAGGTACACAGATCACCCAAAGGACAGATTAATGGCAGGATACTGAATAGGGTGCACTTCTGTTTAGGTCTGCTTTTGTGCTACTCACCTGTATCTGTGAGGCGTGCAAGTCCATGGTAATAATATGGTCGGCGCCTGATACCGACAGCATGTTGGCCACCAACTTGGCAGAGATAGGAGCACGGCTCTGCAATAAAAATAGATCTCTTCAGTCACATGGCATAAGTGAACAGGCACGCATCGGCCGTTTCTAAAAATAACACTCAACTGAGAGTTTAGCCATTCAGTAAAACGATGCCCGTTAAACATTACAATCTTTTATAGACGCTAGACCGCAAAGCTAAACACAGAGGCAGTCTGTTCAGTCAAATAAGTTAAAAATAAATGTTTGGCCCAACTGCATTATGGCTTTTAATATGGGAAAAAACACTGCAATAGTGAAAATCCTGGATGATTTTTAGTCTTACATGACAATTAATAAACATTGTGATTTGGTAGTTAAATAAACATTCCATTCATGCAATGTCATTAAAATGATGGAATGAGAGTAAGTAAACAGGCAAACGGCAACAAGCCAAGATCAAAAGAAATGGAAAGTGCAGTCGATTCAGCAAAGCACACAGAACAAGAACAAGGGAAAAATCAAATCAAATATGCCATGTCAAGTGGTTACTGGTGGGCAAGGCTGCAGGCTTCTTTCTTGTCATGATGCTGGATGGCAAATGGCATGACAGAAGTAATTAGACAGATATCCCTCACCCCCACCTTGTCCTTCTTGTCTTGCCGGGCATACGGAAAGCAGGGGATGACCGCCGAGACCCTGGAGGCAGAGGCAATCTTGCAGGCGTTGATCATGATCAGCAGCTCCATCAAATTGTCATTGATCTCCCCGCAGCCACTCTGCACGATGTAGACGTCCTCCCCACGAACGCTCTCCCCTATCTCCACGCTGCCACAGGAGAAAGGCGACAAGACAAACAGCACTTAGAGCCACGGAGTGAACAAACCGTGGCAGGAAGTGATGAGACAGAGCAAACAATGGCGTGTGATCTGAAACATGGGCTACGTTGGGGGAGAAGAGCATCATGCTGAGCCTCAATATGATATGGCATTATAATTGCAGTTTCCTAAAAAGCGACTGAGGCTTTGTTAGCATTCCGAGCAACAAAGCCAACCTCAGTGGCCATGCGTGGACTACAAACTCCTAACAACACTGCGCGGCAATTTCACCATGACACCACGTTTCTAATTAAATCACGCTACATATGGCTAGGCTACAGCATCTGCGTAGCAGGTACGCGTTACCTCGAAATACAAGCGTCTATAACAGTATCAACAACTGCATATAACTCACCATGTTTCTTGGTTGCTAAATTTCTTCGTAACGACCTTCCCTAGCTCGAGACCCAGGCGGTCTGCGATTTTCTGAGACAAGTCCGGATGTGAGCTACCGCTGAATATTTTGATATTCGGCATTTTGTTGCGTCGTTCAGTCAGAGCGGGCAGCTGTCGAGTCAGAGGGTCCAAGACAAACAAGCGGGAATTGGTAAACAGTGGATGAGGAACTCTTATCGAGCGATAGACTGTACCCTACCTATCCACCATTATGTCCCACACATCACGCGTGTGGCTCTTCCTCGCGGAGGGGCGCGCACGCTTTCGTTTTACGTTCCGCCGCGATGACGTCATTCTGTGCCGAGGGAGCCAAGAACAGGGCCACGTGACCGTGCTTCACCTTTGTAAGCTTACCTAAACGTGCTAATTTATCAGCGCAAAGTGAGTTAACGCCAATACACTGTTGTGCAGATAAACCGAGTTGTAACGGCCCCTTGTCCTGGAGTTCTACTTGTTATTGCCACAAATTAGTAGTATATTTTCAAAATTGTGACATAACAATCACGGATATTGGCGTTCAGTTAACGTGAGTGTTTGTAAACCTGTGTCTAAATCTCAATAAATCTTTCTCACAGCAGACATTTTGACATGTTTATATTGAATCGCATTAACTATGGCAGCATCCCACTTAGGTCCTGGTATCGTGCATGCTGGCTTACTGGAAATGCTTCCTATGAAACTTTATGGAACTGAGCTATAGTTAATGTTATTACATTACATTACAGTCATTTAGCAGACGCTTTTATCCAAAGCGACTTACAATAAGTGTATTCAACAGTGTTATCAGTTTCACCTGTGCATTTTCCTCCAAACGGTGAAAAATGTCTATAGATTGTGAATCTGTTGGAAATATGGACTTCTATATTCACCCCCTTTACTGATACGTGCAGGGCACTGCAGTGACTATGTAGGCCAAAGCACATGTGTTGGATATAGTTCTATTTAACCTGTCTAGATTCACAACAGGTTGTGTTGTCATTGAAGCTAAATCTAACTGTCATTTTGGCAGTGACCTCAGCGACAACATGGCGAACTTTGGGACTTCATCAAAAGTGCTTCACCAAAATGCAGAAGTAGTAAGTAGGCCTGCACGCATTTTCACAGCATTTTCACCTTTCAAAGTGGGAAAATCACAGGCGGTACTAATAACATCAATGGCTGTGATCAATTCAAATGTCCCAGTCGGCCTAATAAGCCAAGGAAGTGTGACAGTGAGCCAGCCAAGACACCAAGACCTCCTACTGTGACATTTCACACTGACTACATTTAATAAAGCCTATTAATATTAGCAGTGGCATATTTAGTTTTGACTGGTGTGTAAAGTGTGAGATCTCTGACATCCACAGACAGACTGTATATTTAGTGGATTATCTTTCTCGTTTCCAGTTTACTAAGTAATAAAACATTTTATTGCAATTTTATGGCAAAGAAGCACAAGAGAGTCTGGTGGTTGGCTCAGCCTCAATCTGCTTTTCAAATGCTTAGGAATAACATGAATAATATCTAAAATGTCAACGACACAAAACCATTTTACTGTCAATGGTTGGTGTTGTGTCAAGGTTTGCACTGTTCAGTCAACATCAGTTTTTGCCAGAGGCAAATAAATGATACAGCCAAAGCAGCAAGAACCTGCTGGCAGCAGCAATAGAGACGTTTTCGCTCTATTTATCTTTCACTGGACGTCATTTGCTCGAAGTCATTCTAATGGACACCTTTTCACTACTGAAAGTTTACTCCATGCAATGTCATTTCCAAATTCTCTGAAAGAGTTTATATTATATACTTTATTGCTCGTAAAACATGAGTTAACTTTGTACACAGACAGAAGACCACAGTGACGACAAGATCATTGACAGTAAATAAAGACAGGAATGAATAGGTGCACATAAAGAAACAATGGATTAAGCCATGGCAGGCTCATTGTGTGAATGAAACACAGACAAATCCACATAGTTTAACAAAGCAACTGAACAATGACAACCACAGAAAATGTTTATCAGAATGTGAAAATGTTCAAGAGCTGATGAGAGAACATTGTCTGATATTTTTGTTTATAAAAATAAACATGTCCCATGCTTTATACTCGATATATACTCATTAAAATATATGCTATTAGTCTCTATGTTACATTACTACTATAAATAATTACCTTACAGACATGTTTTATCTTTTCCTTTTTACAAAAGAGTGAATAGTTGGGATAAATCTTAATGTTACAGGTAATGTTTTAAAAGTGTCTTATTCTCTCAAATATGTTATCTTACTATTTACATTTGTGTAGAATAATACATTTCCATACTGAATATCATTTGCAAAACATTAACATATTTATTTTTTGCCCGCTTTTTCCACTTTAGAAATGGAAAATGATCTATACAAACAGTATCATCACCTTCAATGGTCAAAGTATTTGCCCCTGAAAGTCTAATACGTAAAGGAAAACATGCAGTACTGTGAAAAGAGAAAACACTGCATATGCCTATGGAAAATGCCGCATCAACAGAAAAAGGACCAACCGTTAAAAGAGAGTGCTTGTAAACAATACCAATGGGTTCTGAAACCAAGAAAAAAGTACAACAAAGCTGATATCCTGATTTCTGTCATACATTGGAGGTCAAACTCTCGGTGTAAAATGAAAAGTGTTACAGTATGGGGAGCTACTGTATATTGCTAAATTGATGAATAATCACATAGTCACAGTCACATTTAAAAACAATCATCAAAGCTGAAAACAAAAAAGTTGTAAGTGGCTCAGATTTACAGCAGTAAAAAAAGCCATAATTTGGCTATAAAATATTTGTTGCATTTAAATGACCCCCCCCCCCCCCCTTGATTTGTAGTTTTTGTTAAATATTGGACATTTGCAAGTTTGCACAGTGTGCTACTTAGCATCCTAAATTAGTTTCTTGCCACCAAACCTTTACCCAGGCTGGATATTAACATCATAAATACATTGTGTGCAAGAAACAGCAATATTGTGTTTCTTATCTTTAGTATTGTGACAGGCCAGTTGTCACAATTGATTTGGTTTCACAGTGCTCTCTTTTAACAGTATGTCCAGTATACATGGTAGACCAGTACATATAAAGTCTCTCTGACTAATCAAGGAATAACAAGAGGATGAGACACAAAGAAGATTTCAGACAGGAAACAGATGTGTTAGTTTTATTAAAATACATAGAAAACTACTTTGTGTGTTTCTTATATGTTTGCTAGATTGCACAATGTATAACAGCACATAGAAAGCAAATTAGTTTATACTCTATCTGAAAACCTGAATTAAAAACAAAGGATCCTTGAAAACGGGTAAGCTGTAGCTTTGAGGTGATGCATTATGTAAAATTGGTAATGTGGACTCAAGTGAGGTTTTCAGCAACAGTGGGAATAAAAAACACTTAATCAAACATTAAAAGATACATTTCAACTTCAGAGCTAATTTCAGAGGTTGTGCAAAATTCTAGTGATACGTTTACCCACTTGCAAGTGGATGGCTATATTTAAAACTATAATTCAGGACAAGTGAGTTGCAAGTGAGCCATGGATCAGTGATGGTGTAAAAGACACCGTGCGTTATTTAGTACAGTGTGGGTATCCCTTCTCTACAGCTGAGTGAGGTAATGACACTCATTACTGTGCAGTGGATAAGACTGTGACTTGGGTCTCTGCTACATTGTCTGCCCAGAGCGGGTGTGTTTCATACCTGCACTGTTATAGTGAGAGAATGGGCCTCTGTCAGTCAATATAGTTTAAAATGTCATTGTCGTCTTTCAGCGGTTTTCATTTTCCAACACTGTCACTTACATTTTGACTCATGTATTACTACGCCAGACATTGTCACCATAGCCAACAGAGATCTCCATTTTGCATTACAACAGTTAATATTTTCAAAAAACAAACACATCACCATCTAACCAGCCAACGCTTTGGACTACGCAATTTACAGATGCCGCTACTTGACGAGATCTCTGAAGTATTTTTGTCCAGAGCATACATTTATTTGATGATTTATTATAATCTTTATAGTTCTCTTAACTCAATACATTTCAAATATATTCTTAACTTTTTTTCTTCACAAAACTTTATATTATTTGCTAAGTAGACACAACCCAAATATACATCACATATAAAATATTATACTTCAATGACTTATGTATATTGTGAATATTGATATAAGGTGGTTAGCCCTGTATCACCCAGTCTGTTATAGGGTTCTTATTCCATTGTGCATTAGTTTGGTGTATCTTTATATTTCAAAACAAGATCCACGAGGCTACCTCAGGGCCTGTAAACATGAGATGGAACAGCTGCATTGCAATTTTTACTGATTGCATGTCTTGTAAAAATTGTAAACAATAAACAAATAATGAATTTGGGTCGAGGAGCCACCCACAGTCTGGACGATTTTGATTACATCCCTGCCAGATGTATTCTTACTGGGCAGGCAGAGTTTTGATGGGTCGAGTGAGTGAGCTCATGTTATTGGTATTGGAGGAAACTTGAGGGCTCATGGATTTTGTCGGCAAGCTGCTTGAGTGCCCCATTGATTCTTCTGCTGCACGCAGAAGCAACGTGTAGTTGATAGCTACTTCTTCAACTTTTCTCAACAGCTGCAGCCTTTGGGTTTCTGTACGAACCCCCCTGACCAATTTGATGAAGGTCTGAGTTAGTTCACACAACACTTGAAAGCTGGTTGTGACAACAGCAAGCATACGTGTTGGGCTTTTTTCAACACTTGCCACTCGTCGACAAGATGCTCTGAATTCTTTGAAGCGCACCGCCAGCTCCTGTTTGTACTCTGCAATCTGTGAGGGCTGAAGGCGAGCCTCGCCCTCAGCTTGTGGGCAGTTAGCACACTGACGCAGAATAGCTAGCAACTCATTAGCATCCAACTGGGCATTTAGGAAACCATCAGGCAAGCTGAAACTTTTACCCTGTAGAGCCTGTACCCGTGCAAGGCTCCCCTCCATTGTACCACAGGCTCTCAGGTCGATCTCCTGTGTCTGTGGCTCCTCCTCTTCCTCCTCCTCTTCCTCCCCACTGCAATCCTCTGCATCAAGAACCTGGAGCGTTTTGCTCACTACAGGAAAGGTGTGCGAGTCCAGCTCCATGCCTGGAAGGACCTGAAGGGGTATGGAGTATGAGAGCTCATCCTTTTCACTGCTTTCATCTGCCGCCTCACACTTCCTGTAGCAGAAACAGAATGAGCAGCATTTATCCTTGTCATCACTGTCTTCACTGGGCATGGTCAGCAGCACTTCGCTAGTTCC